ATCTTCAGGTGCCTGTAGAAACCCGCCTGATCCCCCTCGCGGCTCTTCTTCTCGAGCTGCCGTACATAGCCCTCGAAGAACTTTTCCAGTGCTCTCCACCTCGCGATGCTGCGCTTCTTCCGCGCCGCCTTGAGCATCGCCTTCAGGGTCGCCTCGAAGGCGCTGTTCATTGAGGCCCCACGCAGTTGCTGCGGGGCCGCCTTAATCTCCATGGACGCTTCGGAGATCTCTTGCTGCGCTTCGCTCGTGTACCAGCCTCTCTGCCCTCGTGCGCACCTCGCTAGCGGCGAGGTCTCAGCAGCGGCCGACATCACCGTAGCCGTCAGCTCGGCGGCGGTCTCTCCCGTTGGCCGCCTGAGCGCCGTGGGCGGAGGGCGGCTGGAGGCCCTGTTTTGGAAGGCGACCCGTAGGTGTTTGTCCTTCCTCAACCGCTCGAGGTCGATACGGATCCGGCTGCTTCCGCTGTTCCCCCGCACTCGTCGGTTGGGTGCGACACGGGGGGGGAGGCGGACAGTCGTAAGCACGAGGTTGTGGTCAGAGTCTTTGAAGTCGACACGTTTGACGGAGACATTGCGCACGAAACGCCGGTCCGCCTGACGCATGAGGATGAAGTCGAGGCGGTACTTCTCCTTTCCCTTGTTGGAGCTCTGGAATGTGTGCTGCACTCCACCTTTCGGTGTCCGGAAGTAGGTGTTGGTCAGGGAGAGTTGGTTGCCTGATGACAGTCCAAGGAGTCGTTCCCCGTTGATGTTCATAATGTCGCGTCCGTACGCGCCCATAATCTTGGCATCGCAGCACCCGTCTCGCCTCCTACCAGTACGTGCGTTGGCGTCCATTAGCACCACGAGATGGTCACGGCTGTGAACCTCCCGGATCGCTGCGTCGAGAGCAGTCCAGAAGGAGTCCTTGGCGTTAACATCACCGCCCGCGGTGGTGCGGACAGTTTCCGTGGGGGCGTACCCCACCACGAAAGTTACTCCGCAGGTGCGGCCAATTTGTAGACGCACCTTCATCAGCCTCGGGCTAATGCACTCCACCGTCCTACCTTCCTCGCCCAAACTCTCCCACATGGCCCCCTTGATCGCTATGCCCACACCGTGTACGCCCCTTTTGTCCTTGGTGCCAACACGGGCGCCACTCCAGATGATCACGTACCCGTCGTTTGCAATTGAACCTTGCCCCTCACGTCGGGTCTCCTGAAGTCCTATCACATCACAGCCGGTCGCGGAACAAATCTGCATGACCGTCATCACGTTGTGACCGATGGGGTTCCTACCGCTGTAGGCGAGCGTGCGTACGTTGAACGTGCCGAACGATAGGTCGCCCTCTCGTGCCTTCTTCTTCGCAGCTGCCTTGACGGCCGCTGCGGTCTCGTGTCTCTCTCGGTCCACCTCGCGTTGCGGGTGTGCTTTCTTCCGTCTTTTCCGAGCGGCGAGTTTCCTCGCATCAATCCATCTCTGCAGAGCTCGGTTCTTGCCTGTGGTGTTTTGACGAGGAGGGTGCAGCACTCCCTCCCCGCGGTGCCCGCGGTCGTCTCCCTTCTCCCGCGNGCCTACAATATGTTGTGGCCTGATGCGCCAGCGAGGGACTCACTAGGTCGATTTCGGCCCCGGCCGGGGAGCAGGCCGAGGAGGGGAGAAGTATATGCGGCTGATGTGCGGGCAGACGGGCGTGGTCTCACCGTTTTAAAAAAAATAAAAAATGAAAATAAAAAACCTACAAAATGACACAACGAGTCCACCTCTATCATAGAAAAGAGTCAGAGACAGATTAACAATGGAATCATAGCGTCAGAGAAAAGTACCTGTTTGTCTACGATTTCCTAGACAGCATATAGGGACAACTCCCCTGCGGGTGACAGGCTCNGAAGTATATGCGGCTGATGTGCGGGCAGACGGGCGTGGTCTCACCGTTTTAAAAAAAATAAAAAATGAAAATAAAAAACCTACAAAATGACACAACGAGTCCACCTCTATCACAGAAAAGATTCAGAGACAGATTAACAATGGAATCATAGCGTCAGAGAAAAGTACCTGTTTGTCTACGATTTCCTAGACAGCATATAGGGACAACTCCCCTGCGGGTGACAGGCTCAAAAAATCAGTTTGGTAGCTCTCTTGTGTGTCTCATATATGTCATGTTGTTTAATTTCATGTCGTTAAATGTGCGAAGGGCACGTGTAATTTCATCGTTAAATTTTCTCAAGATTGCTTCCTGATGACGTGGTCGCCGATAGAGGCGGGTGGTTGATGAGGTTTCATCACGGACATGTGGGTGTGTGTTAAATGCAGTGGGTATGTTCACCTCTCTCTCTCGTCCGTGTGTAGGCAGGAGGTATGACTACCTCTCCCATTTGTGGGCAGCGCGGACCATAAGTATAGACAGAGTTTATCATTTCATGCATGCCACATCATTTGTGTTTGACAAGGGAGGGATGAGAGGTTGTGCGTATGGGTACGGGGATACTCCCTGTGTCCGTGTTGTTCCCAGATGTTGTCGCATCAAGTGGCAGCATGTGTCATGGACAGGTAGACGTGGAAGGACGGCGACAGGTGAACGGCAGCAGCAGTAGCATGTTGTGCATGGTGGCATGTTGGGCTTGTACAGAGACACAGTCCATCTTCGACCACACACAAAGGAGTTTGTTCGTACCTGTGGGGATTTTTCGAAGTCCTGAGTCAGCCAAGAGCAGCAGCAAGGAGCAGACGCAGTGCAGTACACTCTACAGCTTTACAGTCCGTCCTCCTCAAGTCCTATCGGAGATGATTAGTATCGCACAACGGCTGGATCCGAAATGCCGGCTAGGTCCGCAATCCAAGAGAGGTGGGTGGCTGAGCTAAAACTGGACTGACAACATGCGTGCTCCTCTCAGCGATGTCGCTGGCTGGCTCTTTGAAGTGCAGATTTCTGGTTCAGCGGAATTCGATTCCCAGTTTTTCCGTTGTCACCTGGGTGTATAGGAATTTTTATGAAAGGTGTACAGAAATTGACAACTGCCATTTTTCGCCAGTTCGTGCCGAACTGGTCAACAAAAAATTCGATTCCCAATTTTTCGTTGTCACCTGGGTGTATAGGAATTTTTATGAAAGGTGTACAGAAATTGACAACTGCCATTTTTCGCCAGTTCGTGCCGAACTGGTCAACAAAAAATTCGATTCCCAATTTTTCGTTGTCACCTGGGTGTATAGGAATTTTTATGAAAGGTGTACAGAAATTGACAACTGCCATTTTTCGCCAGTTCGTGCCGAACTGGTCAACAAAAAATTCGATTCCCAATTTTTCGTTGTCACCTGGGTGTATAGGAATTTTTATGAAAGGTGTACAGAAATTGACAACTGCCATTTTTCGCCAGTTCGTGCCGAACTGGTCAACAAAAAATTCGATTCCCAATTTTTCGTTGTCACCTGGGTGTATAGGAATTTTTATGAAAGGTGTACAGAAATTGACAACTGCCATTTTTCGCCAGTTCGTGCCGAACTGGTCAATAAAAATGAACTGGTGAAGAGCGAGGAAACCCCGATGTAGGTTGTAGTCTAGTCGGGGAACGTGTGCAACCCGTTTCAGCAACAGGTCGGTTGTTCCGTCGCGCGAGCTAAGGGTTACCGTCACGTCGCCGAACCCTACGATAGGGAAGGTTTCTCCGGCGGCGACGCGCACATGTCGATCACACTCTTCGTAACGAACGAACCCGTCTGAGTTCGCAGTCATGTGGTGGGTGGTAGCGCCGGTATCGGCAACATACCTACCCCGCCTAGCCTGCTCTACGCCCCCTCGACCAACGACTTTGTGACACTCGCCTGATACGCCACCGACCACCAGCGCTTCTTCTGCCACGTCCAGTGCTGTGGCGTCCGCAGACGCCCCCCCCCGCCGGCACTTCCACCACGAGCACCGCCTTCACGGTCGGGCACTTTCTCTTGTCGTGCCCGTAGCCCTTGCATGTCTCACATCGCCTGGGCTTGCTCTCGGTGCAGTCGGCTACCTGGTGGTCCTTCTTGCCGCACCGGAAACAGCGACCGCGCATGCTACCCGCATCGTCGTCGCCGCATCCGCCGCCGCCACCAGCCTTCGCGCCACCCCTTCTCCCCTTCTGGTTGCCGCCGCCGCCGCCACCACCACCCTTGCGGCGGCCGCTGTTGCCGCGGCCCGGCGCTCCTCCCCCGCCGCCACCGTCACTCGCGAGGAGAGCATGCTCCGCCCTACGCTGGCCCTTCGAGGCCTTCCTTCCCTCCGGGAGGCTCGCGTGCACCGTGCTCACGATCCTGACGATCTCGGCCCTATCCAGCGCCGTTGCTGTCTCCAACAGGAACTTCGCTTGTTGGTACTCGGGTGGGAGGGAACCAACGAAGTGNCCTACGCTAGCCCCTCGAGACCTTCCTCCCCTCCGGAAGGCTCGCGTGCACCGTGCTCACGATCCTGACGATCTCGGCCNCTTAAGTGAGTAGAGGTGCTCGATGGGGTTGCTGTTGCTGTGTGTGGGGATCGCGAAGTTGAACATTTGCTTCATGAGGGCTTGTTTCGAGCCCTGCGATTCCGGATCGTAGATTTTGTCGAGTTCCGCAAGGATCTCTTTGGCGGTCTCGCATTTGTTCGCGATCGCCTTGTCGGCTTCTCTGACGATGGCTGTGGTCACAAAATGGAACGCTTGGAGGCCCCTCTGGACCTCGTCGCTGGTGTATTGGAGGCGGTACAGCTCCGAGCTTGGCACGTTTGGGTTGCCGACAGGTGCATGTCTCTCGTTGTTGCCGATCAATTGGCCGTCCAGTCCTACACTCTTGTCCGCTTGAATGAGCGATTTTCTCCACGAGTCATACGCATGGCCGCGACTCTCCCTTTCGAGACGCGGGGCATTGACTGTTACTCTCTTCATGTGGCTAATCCTGTAGCCGTCGAGGAATTCTCCATTTCCTCGAATCACGGGTATCTCACCTGGGGGATTCAACCCCCTCGCTTCCCCGTAGTCCGGTCCTATGCCCGGGCCCACTCCGGCTGGTCCAACAGGGTTCGCTCCCGATCTGCTGGCCCATCCGCCTTCCAGCAGCTGCCGTGGTCCTTGCCCACTATCTCTCGCGTGCTGCTGGAGAAATCCCCCGCTTCCGCCGTGCGGCTGCAGGGGCTCTTGGCTTTCGGGAGCAGCAACCCAGCCGCCCCTACTACTGACTGCATCCGCCACGACGCTGCCAGGCTCCTCCTTCTTCACCGACTCCTACACCAGGGCCGCCAAATGCGAAATTTGCATTTGCAAACTTGCAAGCTTCGCATCGCGGCCCTCCTGCACCGGCGGGCGGATCTGTTCTCCGCTCGCAGCAGCGCGCTCTTCGTCTCCAGCAGAGCTCATCCCAATGTGGCTTCCCTCGAGGGGCAAAAAACAACTCTAGAGTGTTTGCAGCCTACGCCACTTATTTATCGGGTGAGACTGTTTTGGTGATGTATTAACTTCACGAGAGGTCGACGACCGTCCTTCACGCGGACAAAAGAGGGAGTGCTCCAAGAGCGGCTCCCACAGCGAGGAGGGGCCCCGTGAATCATCGCGGTGCCCATACCAAACGGCAATCTGACCAGTCTGCGTGACCCCAAATCATCCAGCACATGTATGTATCCAACACCAATGTTCGCAGATCCGCGAACAGAGCCAGTCCGGGAGGGAGAAAAGTAGGGGACACGGAAACTTCGGTCGCAGAAATGCTGTTTGCGGATGATTTGTCGGTATGTCGGACACCCCTGAGGGACTGCAACTACAAATTGACGCGGCGAAGAAATTCACTGATAAGTGGAGATTGTCTGCGAACGTTAAAAAGAGTGCCGTCATGATATGCAACGAGAACAAGGAGGAACCAGTAGAACATAGATGGAAGTGGGGGATCGAGGAGATTGCAGTAGTGGACCAGTACACATACCTATGTATGGGAGGCGAAGTGGGTAAACAAGAAGAGGGGTAAACAACCCACGGAATGGGTCAAGGTTTTAGAGGACGCATGGAAGGGGCTCGACATCGACGAAGATGAAACGCTGGAAACGGAGGGTCTACAGGGGTTCAAGGAGAAGATATCTGTTGCTTGTGCCGAGAGAGAAGAACAAAACCTTGAGAAAGAAACCAAGGATAAGGAGGGTCTGGAAGTGTACGGAATGTTAAAGGAAGGAGCGGGGTTCAAGGACTACCTACATGGACAATGGATGCAGGAACAAAGCTTAAGGTCAAATTCAGGACCGGGGACGTAGGCCTTCGAGAACGTCGACGAAGACATAGGACGGTAGACGAGGAAGACGACGAGTTCAAATGTGATTGCGGCTTCGAATGCGAAGACCGTGTTCATNTCAAGGAGAAGATATCTGTTGCTTGTGCCGAGAGAGAAGAACAAAACCTTGAGAAAGAAACCAAGGATAAGGAGGGTCTGGAAGTGTACGGAATGTTAAAGGAAGGAGCGGGGTTCAAGGACTACCTACATGGACAATGGATGCAGGAACAAAGCTTAAGGTCAAATTCAGGACCGGGGACGTAGGCCTCCGAGAACGTCGACGAAGACATGGGACAGTAGACGACGAAGACGACGAGTTCAAATGTGATTGCGGCTTCGAATGCGAAGACCGTGTTCATGTAGTCGCGGAATGTCCGTTGTACAAGGAGAGGGAAGTGTACGTGACTGAGCCGGGAAAAATAGATAGGACGTACAGGGAGATGTTTGAGGCATGGAATAGAGAGGAAAGGACGGTAGCTGTACTGGGGCATAGGAGGTGGGTTGAAAAGGCGGGAGGGAATATCGTTAGGATAGACAGACTAGGGAAGACATTTTTGAGCCACCTTTGGCAAAGTAGAAAGGAACGATTGGCAATCGATGATCGGTCCTGTGGGAAAAACGCTCCGTCCTCTCGAGGACGCGTGTGGGATGCGAGGTCAATGGTCTAATGACTACGGCATGCACGACTATGAGTGCACCCTCCCCTTCCCTTCCGAGTTTGCGGGCAAAGTTTCCTCCAGAGAATTCCCGACAGTTGTCCTCCAGAGGTTTGGGTTAGAGAATCCTCTGAGAGTATTAGGGTCTGTCCAAATCAGAGGATTGCCATTTTTCGGCAATCCTCTAGAAGAGCATTCTGGAACATTATACTCCAGAGCTTTGGGTCATGGAGTCCTCTCAGAGTATTAGGGGCTATCCAAATCAGAGGATCGCCTTTTTTCGACAATCCTCTGGGGATTGCAGTTATTCCCGGGAGGATTTTGACCCCAGCCATTTGTCTACGTGTGCAGCCGGCGGCATTTCTAGCGATTATATTTGCAGTGAACAAGAGAAACATACCCAAGATAAACGCATCGAGACGCTCAACAATACAACAAGTCGTTGTTTTGTGTGAAACCGAACCACACCCTCCCCTGGTTAGGGTGGTTCTTAACGCTTCGGAAAAGTAGTGAAATTTTCCACGGAACGGTGACAAGAAAACCCGGCTTTTCTCCCCTTGTTCTATTCGTGATGTCATCGCAAAAAGTACGTTTCCTTCCCTGAATACACGCTTTGCTTGGCACAGAACAGGTTGAGTTGGTGTAGCTCACCATAGAGCAGCGGTAAAAGCGCAATGAGCAGCACCCGACACAGAGGACAACACATTTAGAAAGACCCGTGGGTTTGCGCAGCGTGAGGGTGTTGACTTCTTTGAGACTTTCTCCCCGTGTCCTTCCATCACNCTCCCCTTGTTCTATTCGTGATGTCATCGCAAAAAGTACGTTTCCTTCCCTGAATACACGCTTTGCTTGGCACAGAACAGGTTGAGTTGGTGTAGCTCACCATAGAGCAGCGGTAAAAGCGCAATGAGCAGCACCCGACACAGAGGACAACACATTTAGAAAGACCCGTGGGTTTGCGCAGCGTGAGGGTGTTGACTTCTTTGAGACTTTCTCCCCGTGTCCTTCCATCACGAGCATTCGATTGCTAGCCGCCATTGCCTGTGTGTTAGATTGGGACTTGTGCCATTTCGATGCCGAGCAAGCCTTTGTCCAATCAGAACTGGATGAGGTTGTGTTCATTCGTCTTCCCCCTGGGTGCGGTGCGCTTTCCGGGAAGGTCGTACGGTTGAGACGGAGTCTATAAGGTCTGAAGCAGGCGTCCCGCACATGGCATCATCACTTTATGCGTGGCATGAAGAGTCTTGGTTTCGAGCCTTGTGTGCCGCCGATGCGTGTGTGATGCGTCTGATCGAAAGCGGTGTAGTCACAATGGTGGTTGTGATCCACGTAGACGACATCTTCTCTATCGGACTCAAGAGCGGGTGCGATCAGTTTGGTGTTGACCTCAACCGGTATGTGCCCATTTCCAACCTTGGGGAACTCCGATGGTATGCGGGTTGCCGGTTTTCTCGTGACACGGTGTTAGGGACGGTGACTATTTCGCAACAGGCTGTAGCGGAGAAGATCGTTGCCAAGTTCGGTGTGACGACGGACAAAGAGACACCTATGGTCGTTGGGTTGAAGCTTGAGCAGTACGACGCCGACGAGCCCGATGTCGACGAGCCTTTCCGGTCGCTAGTGGGACACTTGATGTGGCTGGCGAATCAGACTCGCCCGGATATTCTCAACGCGGTACGTGCCGTTGCGAGGTATTCGCACGCGCCGAAGCGACTCCACTGGGAGGCGGCTTTGCATGTTTTGATGTATGTTAGATTCACGAGAGGGAACGGGATTACTTTTCAGAGGGGCACGGAGGGAGGAGACCACATGGAACTTTTTGTCGATTCGGACTTCGCCAACAAGGCAACCGACCGGCGGTCTGTTTCTGGGGCACTAGTGATGTTCGCTGGTGCGTGTGTGATGTATCTGTGTAGGACGCAGAAGAGCGTCACCCTGTCTTCGACGGAAGCGGAGTACGTGGCGATGTCTGATGGG